TGAAACTTCACCAGCAAGGGAGGGCTGGGAGATGGAGAGAGCTTTTATCCCTCCCAGGGACCAGGGCTGAGACACAGTGGCGGGAAGAGCAGGCCACTCTGACTCCTGGGGATCTGAGTAGGAAGAAAGAGAGCTGGCTCCAAGTCTTGGTGCCTCCTGCTAGCACAGCACCTCTGGGACGCAGGGGCAGGAGCAGAGACAGCAGCATGGTCCAGCATAGCCCAGCATAGCCCAGCATAGCCCACTTCCAGAAGGATGATGCCACATGTCTCTCCAGTCTCAGGCCTACCCCTATCTGATGCTCTAATGTGCTGTGGTCGCAGAAGGGAGGGGCCCAGTGAGCAAGAGGGTTGGTTATTCAATCTGTCTAGAGCTCAACAGTCAGTGAAAGGAGAGGGAATCACAACTGAGAACCCAGGATAGAGGGTCCCTCGAGATAATACGGCCACAGCTCAGCAAGCAGGAGTGCCCAAGTGTTCGCCCAGGGCAGCGAGTAGCTTTGGAGAAGTGGGTGCCTGATGTCATGTGCAGGCAGCCTCATTCTGGAAAAAAGGGCATGTGCTGTCATGAGAGGGGGCCAGTGGAAGGGGCCTTCTTTACCCTCGTTGGCTCTCTCCTTGGACTGCACACAAAGCCATCTCCGCCATCTGGCCACAGCCTATAATTCTGCCGACCAGCTGCACTGGGTGCTTGACTGCTCTGATTGTGAGGAGGGAGATTACTGAGTGGAGTGCAGTGATTGGCAGGTGCCTGAGGGCCCAGCTGCCTGGTAGTAGCTGGTTCCATGTGACGCTGTGCTGCCCCTGAACTCCCATCCCCTAGCTCCTGGGCCCCCCTGAGTCCCTACTATCATCCTTTACTTTCATTGTTCCTTAGATTCCCCCCTCCATGTGCAAATGAATGTGTAAATTCAATGCACAATGAATCCCTTGGGAGTGTGGTGAGAATTCAGATTTGGAATCAGAAGGTCTGAGAGGGACTGAGCATCTGCATTTCCAACTACTTCCTGGGCGATGCAGACACTATAAATCCAAGCACCATTCTTTTCGTAGCAAACTTTTAGGGTTGACAAAGCTTTTCCGTATATATGGTCTCCCTGGGCTCTCATAACAGCCCTGATGTAAAGTGGTGTGGAAGAATTGCTGCCATTCTCAATGCTTCTAATGCAAGGTATTGTGCTTTGGCAATTAATAAATCTCATCTCATTCAATTTTCTCGACAACTAGCCAAAAGAGCTCTTTCTAGAATTTCCAAATGGAAAAAATACTGAGGTTCTGAGATAGTTATGTAACTTGAGAAAAATCACAAATCTAAGTAGTAGAGTTGAAAATAATCAAACTCACATATTCTAACACAAATCTCTTTCACTAGTCACATATCAAATTGACGAATGTGAGACACTTCAAGAAGTAAAGGTTGAAGGTTCAAGTTCTTCAGTGAGAATACTTGAGTGTGGCAGATTGTCCAAGAGCTTGGAGCCTATGGTCAGATCTGAACCCTCATTGCTATGGTTTGGACCTGGAATATCTTCCAAAGGTCCACATGTCAAAGTTTGGTTCCTAGCTTGATATTGGCCTAGCAGGAGGTCTTCAGGTCACTGGAGGTGTGCCTCAAAGGGGACTGTGGGACTCCAGTCCCTGACCCTTTCTCTTTTGCTTCCTCACCATGAGTACTTTTGCTACACCATGTATTCCCACAATGATATGTTGCCCCTACCACAGGCCTACGAACAATGCGTCTGCCCAATCATAGACTGGAACCCCCAATACTGTGAGCTAAAATAAACGTCTTCTCTTTGTAAGTTGACTATTTTGGGTATTTGTTATAGTGATAGAAAGCTAACACACAAGTTTTTTTTCTCTTATAGTGATCTTGGGCAACTTACCTAACCTCTCTGTGCCTCTGTGTTTTTCAATTGCGAGATGAGAATGATAATATTATGGTCATATTTATATGTATCATGCATATTATATACATATCCTCATAATAACCCTACTATTAGCAAAAACCCTAGTCTATCTATCTATCTATCTACCTACCTACCTAGTATAGGCCCTGGAAATACAGTAGTGAACAAAAATAACCTTCCTGCTCTCTTGGGACTGACATTCTAGTCCTCCTAGAATAATACCACCCAAAACACTCAGCACGGTACTTGGCACATGGCAAAACCCTCCATGATCATTAGCTCTGATTGTCTCCACTACTGTCTACACCTCAAGTTTTCTATTAATACACTACTTTAAAGCATGGGCAGAGCCAAATTTACCCTCTCTCATTCCATGAAGTCTAAAGTTTCACTTTTAAAGTTCATTCTAAATTTTTACTTCTTAACCAAAATATATTGGTATTTATTTCCATAGGAAATTAAACAAGTGTTCTGAGAACACATTGTTGAGTAAAACTAATGCTCTAGAAAAGGAATCATGCTCATTCTGGGGCTTTGAGTGTACCTGGCACACTACTGAGCCCCTCGGTGGGTACACATACCCTAGATTGAAAGTTTGGCATGAACTTGCTTTACCAAATGGTTGTTAGCAATAAGTGACTGTGTAGAAATTGGCACAGGAGGAAGAGCTCAGATCTGTTTTGTGCAGAGTTTGGAAAGTTAGTTTTGGAGACAAATGAGCATACAGTGAGGGGTCCTTTGGGCAGTGTGGTGACACAAGTGGCTGTGTAGCTGTGGGTGGGGAAGAGGGAAGAGAGAGAAAAAACTTAGACAAGCTTCAGCTATTGCACAATGAGGCCAAATTTGCTCTTGGTGCTCGATGGGCTGGGTTGGGGGAGAAGGCTACAGGAGGATGGGGCTAGGGTAGAAAAGAAAGCTAGAACTTATAGAGACCTGGGAAGCCAACAATGGACAGGGAAATGGGAGAAAATAATTGCCAATAGTACTTGCATTCCCTCTCTCTCAGCCTGGTGCTTTCCAACGAGCATAAGCAGGTGACCAGAAGCAGGGACTGATCATAGGCTAGCTATCCACATGCAGCCTGGTCTCCAGGAGGGATGATAATCCTGCTAGGCCCCTGTGGTCCCCCTGTCTTTGGAGCCCAACACTAGGCTGGAGAGGTACAGAAGGCAAGAAAAGGGGAGCACCAGCCTCCTCCCACAAACCTGGAGTCTGTTGGTTGCCACGGAGCCTGCCCACCACCCAGCAGTGCCTTCTAGCTCCTGCAGAAAGCCTAGCTGCAATTCCTGCTTTATGGCCTCTGCCAAATGAAGCACAAACTTAACTACATCACCTCCCCATAGCCGGGGGAGGGAGCTAGGGGTGGCGTGCTGGGCTTCTTCAGCCCCCTAATCTAATCACTGGTGTGGGTCATTTCAATTACGGACACCAGAGTGTGGTGAGGGGTGTGGCAGCTCATAAAAGCCTCCATGCTGGTGCTCGGCTAATTATGAAGCTCTTACTACTGTCTCAGCAGGTAAATAACTCAGGACTGACAGGTTCTGGCTGTTGAGGTGGAGTCTGAGCTGGGGAACAGGGAATTTAGACTGAGCTTGATAGGGAGGTGACAAGATGGGGCCTCAGGGCACAAGTTGGGGCTGCTGGTGGGGAAAGAACTGGGCTCTCTGCACTGGGATGGCCATCCACCATCCAATGATTGGCGGAGGAACTCTGCCTTAAAGCATGCTCTGAAGTGTTCCAGGAGCCTCAGAGCCACAGGGTATGGTAAAATTTAACTCCATCTGCTTCTACTAACCTTGCTGTACATGCATAATTGGATCTCTGAGAAGTGAGAGGATTTGGGGAAGCCTTGAGCCTGAGGTGGGAGAATGGCTAACTCCATCTGCAAGTTTCCTGCTGGCTCCCCTCATGGCCTTCTTTCCTTTGCTTTCTGGTTCTGACCCACACAGGTTCAAAGTCAAGACATGGGTGACTTGCTATGTCATAAGTATTTAAGAGTTGAGAAGCTCAGCTTCTTTTACCACCATGGGTCCTGCTCCTCTCAGACAACTATAGAAGGTGGCAAGGATTATCTTGGTAGGAAAGGGAGACACCAGGGGTTGGGAACGTAGCTCAGTCACAGAGTGCTTGTATACCATGTGTGAGGCTCTAGGTTTGATCCCCAGCATTTGGTTATTTGTAATACGTACAAAGGGCTAGGGAGGCTTTGGGAGGCAGTCATGGTAGCACTTAAAAATTATCTTGGTGGGAGGGGTAGGGGAAAGGAAAGAAGGGAATGGAATTAATATGAGAAAATGAAAAAAGGAAACAAAGTCTTTGTAAATAGGGAGGGATGGAGGGGTTTAAGGGAGGGCAGGGGAAGGGGGAAAAATAAGAATCAAGAGAGATTATGTAAAGGTGCAAATTTCCAATGATGAATGTCATTATACTGTATACCTAAAATGTACCAATAAAAGGGTATACAGTTAAAAAACAACAACAAAAACGTTATCTTGAGGTATTATGATGAACTGAAAGTTAGCTGGATAATCATCTCTGTATTCTAGATGCCAGTGGAGCCCCCAGAACTAGAACTGTGATTTCTCAGTGAATGTTAAAAGTACCTTATAACTACCTCCTACATTCTGGAAAACAGCAGATGGTAGGAGTATTCACAGCTGGGAGAGTCCCATTTTTGCTTTGTTCCTCAGTTTCCTTCCTCTATGAAACAGGAACCATGGAATGTGTAAACATTTGGAGGAGCTGAGCTAAAGCTGCTCTGTAAATAAGGGCTGCTGGCAATCATGCTCCTTCCATGGCATAAAGCACTATTCCAGGTGGAGGTCTGCAGTATCTCGTGTTAATAATGTCATTGCTTCAGGCTGCAGACTGACCCTGAGGCTCAGAGTGAGTTCTTGGCTGCCAGTGGAGATCAGAACCACTTGGTATGAAACAGCAGGCATCCACTTAGTGGCCAGGCCTAGTATATTTATACTTACATTACTAGAGAGAACCACAGCCCATAGCTGGACTCTGGTAGAGGTAGCTAGAAGTCAGACCCCACACCAAAGACTGATGACAAGAATTCATAATTGATAGCAGACAGGTCTTTTGTTTATTTTGTGATACATTACTTGCTTTTCAAAATGCTCTAAAATACTTTGCTTGATTTTGATCTCATACACTCTGTGATATGGATAGAGTAAGTTTAACAGCCTCAATTTCAGATAAAGTAGATAGAAGTGTGAGAAGTTAAGTTCAAGTTCCTCTGAGTAAATAGTGATGAAACTAGGGCCAGAATCAGGTCTCCTGAATGTGAATCTGGTACTCTTTCCAATAAGCAGTCAGGAATGAGGGAGACACAATAGCAAAGTGTTCACTGCAGGACTTTTCCTCTTTCCCTCCTTTCCCTCTCTATTATCTGGGGGAGGAAGTAAGAAAGCCAAAATCAATATAGAAACTAACTGAGCACGGCATGGCAGAGGAGGCTGCTGGTAGAAAATAGGAAGTGAAGAAGGAAACAGGTGGAGCTTTGCATGGATACTTCCTGTTCACAAACTTCTTATGTTCCTCATTTCATTAACAGCAGCAGTGGAATTTCATGGACAATTGGCGTCGAGCACTAACTGGGAGGTAATGAGAGAGGGAGGATGCAGGTAAAGGCTGTTTGAATTTAAATTCTATTTCTTCAGGGGGAGAAGGGGGGAAGATTTTTTTAAAAAGCAATTTTAGTGCCCGAAAAAGTTCCTTGCAAACAGCTTAGGACTTTTGTGTCTTGTCTTGGCAGCACTGGGCCTGGTGATTGTCTCACAGCCCACTGTGTCCTTGTGCCCACCAGCCTTCTGAAGACTACCCTGCAGATGGGGTACACAGATGCCCAGGAACTGGGTATCTGACTTTGAGTAGATTTTATCCCTCAGACTTGCGGAAACACACCAGATACATGTCCACTGTCAGGAGCAAGCTAGAATGAGTTGCTTTGCTATTGCTATTGCAAAATCATCATAGGCAAAATGCCACACACCTGAGCGGAAATGGGGGCTAAACTAAAAAGAGAAAACAGTGCAACTACTGTAATGTGTGGTCTTTATGACATCTCTCTCTCTCTCTCTCTCTCTCTCTCTCTCACACACACACACACACACGCATGCACACACATACATATAAAAAGAGGCTATAAAACATTCAAAAGAAGAAAGATATAAGTTAATGCAGCAACAAAGATAGAAACCAGGGGTGATCAGGTGAAAATGGTGGGAGAATAAGGCTGTTTTGAGCGGGGCTCTGAGACAGAGTTGATATAGAGACTGGTGAAGCAAAAGAAGAATATGTCAAATAGAAGTAGAGGCTTGGCTGGAAAAACCCTTCCCGAGGAGGATCAGAAGCAGGCTAGCTTGACTGCACTGAATACTGTGGTAGGAAACAGTGAGAAACCAAGAAAGTCAAATAAAAGGGAAGGATATCTTGTGAAAGGCTTGAATTCTGACCTTATAATTCAGGCTTGAGATCACTGGAACTGACATGAGATAGGATAATTACTATAGACTTGGTTACTGGAGAATCTGGGCCAGAGTTGATTAGTTCCTCAGTGCCAGGTGATCGGACTCTTCTACTCCTTCTGAATGAGTGTCTGTGGCAAGAAGGAATGCTAAGGAGCCATCAGGACTACGATGCTGGACTTCATGCACCACTGTGGCTAGGTGAAGGACTCAGTCTTTGGTCAGTCCTAGATGTTTCTGTAAAGGTATTTTTTTAGATAAGTTCAATATTTAAATCAGTAGACTTTGAGTAGAATGAGTGACTCTCCATAATGTGGGCAGGCTTCATACAATTGGTTGAAGACCTTAGTTTTAAAACTCCCAGAAAAGGGAATCTTGCCAATGGACTACCTCTGGACTCAAACTTATAGCTTTCCTCCTGTCTCCAGCTTGCTGGTCTGCCTTGATGATTTTGGACTTGCCAAGTCTCCACAATTGCCTGTGAGTTATGGAGTGATTCATGTCCCTCCGAAATCTAACTCTTTTTTTGGTACTGGGGATTGAACTCGGGTCCTTGCACTTGCGCAGCAGTCGGTGAAACCACTGAGCTAAATCCCCGACCCCAAAATCTAACTCTTAATGCTTCAGAATATGACTGCATCTGGAGACAAAGTCTTGAAAGAAGTAGTTAAGGTTAAATGGAGGCACTAGGATAGGCCCTAATCCAATATGACTGGTGTCCTTATAGGAAGAGGAAACTTGGACACAGGTATAGAGGAAGGACCATGTGAAGATGCCTGGAGAAGGTAGCAGTCTACAAGCCAAGGACAGAGGTCTCAGAAGAAATCAAGTTTGCTGGCACCTTGATCTCAGGCTTCCAGTATCCAGAATAACAAGAAAATAAATTTCTGTTTGTTCAAGTTGTGGCTCAGTCTGCAGCATTTTACTTAGTAGCCCTAGCTGACTAGTACAAGGACAGTGGATTGTAAATCCCTTGAATCTAAGGACCATGCCCCCAGATCAGTGCCTTCCCCATAGTGTGGGCTTAATAAATGCTGTGCTGGACTGGGCCTGGAAGCCTTAGCACCCGGGTTCTCCATGGCACAGAAGGAAGATGGAGTCAATGTCTCAACTGGAAGAGTGGGAACAAGAGCTTCAAAAGGTACATATATAACAGGAGTTTTGTGTTCTGATTGACTCAAGGGAGACTATGGGAATCAAATCAAGTGGAGAATACTCTGTGACTGACTTATTTTCTATTCTCTAGTGTGTCGAAAATAATTCCTGGTTCTTAATCAACACTCAATAAAGGTTTTGTTGAGTGAAAGACTAAATAAATGACAAAGGCAGAACGGGGAGATGGAGTGATCATACATATGCTGTTAAACAACTGTTTAAGCATGCATGTAAGCGTGCCTGTAACTAGGAATTTTATGAAGGAGATTTCTAGGTTCCTGGTGAGTGAAGCCTTACTCTTTACTGTATACCTTGTTCTATTTACACATTTTCATCCTGAACAGGTTATTCCTGGATCCTCTGTTGTCCATAGGGTGTGTTCTTGGACTCAATGAAAAGAGGCAAAGGAGGTGGGTGGGAAGCTTTTAAACTTAACCACCATTGCTCCCCCTTCTGTCTCCCCTCAGAAATATTTTCAGCTGCCCTAGGTGCTATGACAGCATGGTGATTAAGCCCAGCGGTTTCAGTTTTCACAAGCCACTCCACAGAACCCAGAGAGAACACAAGGTGACAGTATAGAGCCCCAGCATGACAAGGTAGCTTCGGAAGAGCAGTTGGTCAAAGCGGTACAGGAGAGCCAGCCACTCAACATCTTGCTGGTCCATCTGGTCCTGGGTTTGGAGGTAGTTGTTGATGGATCGAAGCTGGAACCAGACTTCCTTTAGGGTCCCTGGCTGGGCCTGCTGGTCTTGATAACTTGGGGACTCTGCATGATAGAGCAAAACACTAAGTAAGCCAAAGGCTAACAAAGCCAGCCTGAACTTTTCCTTGAAGCTGATGGCCTTCAAGGGAGGTTGTGGGCAACACTGGGCAGTGGGTTGGGGTTGGGGTCAGGGACTCTTGCCTTCCTTGCTTAGATAGGCATGGCTGTGCTGAAGGAAGGCCGGGAGCACATGGTAGAAATGTGTTGTCTAAGCAGGGTGTGTATAGGTGAGATTCACCTAGGAGATTTGCTGAGCTGGGGACCAGCCCCAGTTACTCACTTGGAGTTTTAGAGGCTGAGATGATTCATATGCTTTTTAAAATTAAGGAACTGGAACTCCAATATATACAACCCCTCTCCAGGGGAGAGGGGAGAGGAGAGAGATTCCATGTCAGAGGAATCAGTGGCTCAATCACTAGGTAATTAGTTGAAACTGGAAAATTAAACAAGCTAGGAGTAACAGAGGACCTGATCTTCAAGCTAAAATGACCTCCAGCAGAAAGTGACCTTTAGTCCCTAGAGAGGTAAAATAAAATGCTGCACAGGGACTAAGAAGCAGGTGTTTCAGGTTCTTCACATAATCCACCACAAGGCCTGGTGCTTTTCCAGTCGGCATTGGTGCCCAGAGTGATAAAGCAAGGCAGGATAGGGAGCTCAAGCTTTCTCACAAACCTGTTACCCCAGCACACTGGGCCCGGGGGTCCACTCTAGGTTCATCAGCATCGGCATCCCTTTGAAGACACAAGAGGGGCTGTTCCCACCCACTGCACTGTCCGTTGTGGAGGAATTTGACCAAGAGGACTGATTTAGATAAGCTGAGAACCAAGAAGGCCATGCAGACTGTGAAGAATACACCTGAGGGAAGACAACAGAATAGGAAAGATGGAGTTAGCCAGAGACTCAGGCCTCCCCCTCCTCTAATCTGAAAGGCAACACAGGTCTCTGGCAGGACCAGTGTAAGATGGGTGTCATGTGGTCTTGAGGCTGCTTACCAATCAAAGAGGTATTCCCTGTGCTCCTTGGCACCTCGTTAGCCATGTTGACCCTGAAGACAGTGTAGCCCACCAGCACACTGGTCTTGAATATAATCCTTGCCCGGCAGTTGGGTGGAAGGTAGAAGCTCCCCAGGTCCATAAGCATTAGGAAGATGCTGGGAATCAGCAGGCTCACGACATAGGCCAGGGGGCGTCTTCGAATCACCACCTGGCCAGGGAAAAAGACTCTGCTGAATCTATGCCGATGGACTAGGGTTTGGCCACAGCCAGGAATATTCCCTTAAGTCTCAGTACTTTTCTGTGTAGTTTATCTTGGGAATATGTTTGAGGTTATTTTGTGGTTTAGAAAAAAGGAAAACTGTCCTTTAAACTTTTACAAAAGCTAATGTTAATGTTATTGATAGTTACAATAAGAAGCAGTTATTTATTTATCACTTTTGTGCCTGGCATTAGACTAAGTGTTTCACATGCTTATCCTAGTCAGTCCTCACAACTTTAAGGGCTGAGTTTTGTTATTGGCTCCATTTTACAAACAAGAAAACTGAGATTCAAACAGGTTGAATTACTTGTCCAAATGCACACAGTTGGTGCAAAACTACCTTAAAACCCAAAACCTTCATTTTCTTAAACCACTTACTATGCAAAATTATTGTGTATTATTTTCTGGTTACTTTTCTTGTTTCTTGGCATGTGAGCTCCTTGGGATTGGGAGATCTATCAGAGTCTCAGCAGGAACACATAGCACAGTAAAATGAGTAAATTTCAGGTGGGCTCAATAAAAAGACTCTTTGCAAGATGTGGACGTGGTATAAAGTAACCACAAGAACAGCAGGGCTGAACTTGGTGCTGCATGCCTGTAATCCCCGCACTCTGGGAGGCTGAGGTAGGAGGATCTCAAGTTTGAGCCCTGCCTGGGCAACTTAGCAAGATCCTTTCTCAAAACACACAAGCAAGCAAACAAACAAAAAGGACCAGTGATATGGCTCAGTGTGAAGGTCCTGGGTTCAATCTCCAGTCCCCCCACTCCCTAAAAGAAGATTAATACTCCAGGACTTTTTGCAGACTGAGTGAGTAGATATTATCCTTAGGCCTGAAGGGGCCAAAGGCTAGGAGTAGAGTCCAGACCTGAGGAGCGAGAAGGCTGTGCAGACAGGCAAGAGCTGTGGCTTGCTCCTAGGAACACAACCAGTTTGGCAGTGACCACCCCCCAACCCCTTGCAACTTCCTGTCACTACTCCTGACCCTTTCTTCCATGACCAAGGATCCCATCTTGCAGGCCCCAGCTCAGTCTCCAGGAGCACAGAGAAGGGAGGAGAAAGTGGATGTGGGTTCCCCTAGAGAAGAGCAAACTGAAGTTATCCCCCTTAGTCTGTACTATTGGTCCGTACAGAGCTCTGAGCAGTGTTTGCAGCTTGGAATTTGAGTCTCATAAAATCACTATTATTATTGCCATGTTTTATAGCTGTGTATATATCTATATCTATATCTATATCTATATATCACTATGGGATAGTGATAGGAAAATGCCTTTAAGAAATGCCTACTCTTCTCATCCTTCCTAAAAAGAAACCAGGAAATACATAGCTGAGCTGCTTCTCCCACTGGACTGTGAACCCTCGATTCATTCCATCTCCAGGGTGGTGATGATGTTCCAAGAAGCAAAATAAGGCTTTTCTTTTTTTTTTTGGTTCTGGGGATCGAACTCGGGTGCTTGCACTTGCGCAGCAGATGGCGAAACCACTGAGCTAAATCCCTGGCCCTAAGACTTTTCTTATAGTAGGTATTCAATAAATGTTTATCAAATAAATGAACATCCTAGGCTCTTTGCTACTGGATTTAGGTGAATAATGCTTAGAATCTCAATTCTTGGATTTTCCTAACAATAGAATGCTTTCTACATGTGAGGTAGAGTGCTGGATGCATTTACTCAAACAATGTGATTTATATAAATCTCACTGCCAACTTGTTGGTAAGTAACACTTTACAGCTCAGCCCCCTTAAGTCAGATGAGCCAGTGGCAGAGCTAGTGTGCTCCCCCACTGTCTGATTCCTCCTGTTCTTTTCCATTACAGCACATTTGACTGGGTCTCTGAGTCTGAGTAGGGACAGGGTCCTTCTCTCCCATCTCCATCTCCTGCTCCAAAGCCAAGGCAGAAATGACATGCAGAGCCCAGCAATGGGGCAGAGGATGGCGAGAGAACAGCTCAGCCAGGAGAGTTCAGACACCATCTTGCTGATCAGAGTGAGGGCTCCCCAGCCCCCAGGTCCGGGAGCCCATCCCAACTCAGTGGAGCCTGGAAGGCCAGAGCCATTTGGCAGATTGTAGTCTGGCTGTTGTCTTTCACATTAAGCATAATTGGTTGCAAATGGCTACACCAGAGCAATACTCACTGCTTTGCAGTAATTTGGTTAAAACACATTTCTACCAAAGTACATTCAACAAGAAAAACAATAACAAAATTAATTGCCATCAGCCTGCACCTCTCTAGCTCCTGTCATCATGCTGTCATTGAGATGGCTGTGGGTAGTTGGGGCAGGAGAAAGAGGTCAACTCTCAGCATCTATTGTGACCCAGCCTGGGCTATCGGTGATCTGGCCTCATGGGGCTGGGTGGCACCCAGGTCTGCTATCTCTGGAGCATAGAAGGAGAATCTCCCTCTTGGCAGATTGCATGAAAGGGAAGAAAAGTCTAAGAATATCACCATAAGGAAAAGGAGAAGTAGGCATGATGATTTGGCTGGAAACAACTCAGACTTAAAATCAAAGGTGCAGAGCTCCAAAGTGACTCCATTCTAAGAGCTTATATGAGCAAGTCTAATGATCCTGTATGAGGTAACCTCTCTGGGCCTCAATTCCTATTCTTTCCTTTTCTATGTTTGTTTGTTTTTGTTTGGTACCAGGGATTGAACTCGGGTCCTTGAGCTTGGGAGGCAGGCAGTGGAACCACTGAGCTGAATCCCCGGCCCTATTTTTGTTTGTTTTTGAGACAGGGTCTCACTATGTATCCAAGGCTGGCCTCAAATTCTAGGTGATCCTCTTGTCTCAGCCTCCCAAGAGCTGGGACTACAGGGGTGTGCCCCTACATCTTGCTCCCCTTTTCTTACAGTAGTCTGTTTTTGCTTTGCCAAACATCTTGGGTACTTCTGAGATCTGTTGTGCTCTTTAAATAAAGTTCCTATGTGAATAGCACAAGTAAGGATGACTATTCTCCACCCAGAGGCTGAGGCAGACAGTAAATGTTAATCTAAGCCGAAACCAAAGGCAGGTAGTAGGGCTCCTCCAAGTCCCTAATTCTTGAGAAGTGCAAGGGTCAGGGGAGAGGTGAGGGAAGAGGGAGGGCTCAGAGGCTAGGAGTCAGCTGGCTTCATGGGTGTGAGACCTGTACAGACCCTGAACTTGGACTGGCCCTGCACTTGGCTTAATGCTGAGCTAGTGAGGTTTAGAAATTCTTAATAACTTTTGAACAAGAAGCTCCACATTTTTATTTGCAGTGAGCCCTACAAGTTTTGTCAGATTCTGTCAGGAAGCTACAATTGACTGGATGTCAACAACAGCTGAATGCTGGAAGGAAAGCATAAGTACCAATTTGGACAATTCACTTCTGCTGTGACATAAAGTGAAGAACTTTCCTGCTGATTGTAGTGATGCCTGCCTGTAATCCCAGCACTCAGGAGGCAGAGGGAGGAGGATCACCGTGAGTTCGAGGCCAGCCTGGGCTACATAACGAGTTCAAGGCCAGCCTGAATTACACAGTGAGACCCTGTCTTGAACAAAACAAAATAAAACAGAACAGAACAGAACTTTTCTGTCTCTGGATTGTTAAATTGAAAAACCCCTCCAGAACTACCTCATCCACTCTTCTCCTACCTTTAGGATGAGGTACGTTCCCCTTCCTAAAATAGACCAAATAGTCCCTACTAGTTTGGTTTTCTTCCCACAACAAGGGGCTCACCTTTTTCCTTAAGTTGATTTAGGGGCAATGTTTCCTTCAGCTTAGACTAATTTTCTCTATAAGCCCAGTGCAGCTTTAAAAAACTAATTTTATCATATGGTTTTCAGAAACTTTTTCTTCATTTCATCATTTGATCTTCAGCATCCTTTATTCTTCATTTAACAAACAATAATTGAGCATGAACAGGCTGTCAGGCACTATCCTAAATACCAGAATTAGATTATTAATGGGACGGGTCTTTGCCCTAGCCTCTGTCATAAAGGTTCATGAACCTGATCTGGTGGCTGGATATTTCATTAGTCTGTGACTGGAAAGGAACTTTGCACCAGAATGGAATATAACCAGAGTGTATAAATGATTTGTATGACTTAGGTGATGAGACTTGGGACTTTCTGCATTGATATTCAGGTGATTATTTTGGATTTAGAGTGGATGCTAGGATAGACTAAGACTTTTCAGAATGCTGAGATGGGTGAATGTATTTTGCTTGTGAGGCAGATATGAGTTTTGAGGGCCACAGCATGGTAGACTGTACTGTGATAAATAGTGTCCCCAAGATGTTATGTCCTTCCTGGAACCTTTGAATATGATCTTATTGGGAAATAGGATCATTGAAGATATAATTAGTTAAGATGAGATCATAATAGGGTAGGATGGGCCTTTCATCCAATCTGACTTGGGTCCTTAGAAGGGAAAAAACATCTAACAAGAATGCAATGCAAAGGTGGGAGCAGATGGGGTGATGGGTCTGTAAGTCAAGGAATGTCAGTGATTGCTGGCATGGAATGGATTCTCCCTTGGAATGCTCAGAAGATCGGGCTTCTTGATTCCAGACTTCTAGACTCCAGAATTGTCAGAGAATAAATTTCCATTGTTGTAAGCCACCCAGCTGGGTGCTTTGTCATGGCAGCCTTGTGAAATGACTGAAGGTGACTTGCCCAGTAACACAATGTGTGTGTGTCTGCCTAAGAATGTACTGGAATACACTGTGTGGCACTTAATTTTGTGTCATCATGCTGTAGGATTAGATATATGGTTTCTGGAGTCAGATTGCCTGGGTTCAAGACCAGGCTCCACTAGTCACCATGTAACTTCCAATAAGTTGCTTAACTTCTTGGCACTTCAATCCATCTACTTGTAAAACTGAAGATACTTTGAGAACCCATCTCATGGGTGTAAACATCTACCAACTCTGAGACTAATGCCTAGCATACAGTGTTCAGTCTTGCAATTATTGTTATCATGTTTCCCTGGGCAATTTTTGAGGTCCACAATAGATATTAGGAGCCATTTTTATTCATCTTTGTATTTTAAGTGTTTACCACTGAAACAGGTACACAGATGTTCATTGAATTGTATTGGAGTCTGTTAATAATGCTACCTTTAGTTCCAATGGAATAGCAGTGTGGAGTTACCCCATAGGGGTCTATCCTACTGAGGCCAGTCTTTTTGAAGGCTGCCTGTCATAAATCATGCCTGAAGCCATAACCTCTGTTTTTGCTGGGAAGAAGTATTACCAGCTCAGTGAGACACTGATCTCTGCAAAACTACCCCTACCTACAGCCCGTCATTTCTAATGGTCTAAAGGAGCTGGTGCCTTTAAATTCCACAGAAAAGAAGAAAAAGCACTTTAGTTTCAGTCCGTGTTCTCCATTAGACACCCTTCAGGTGTTAGCAGTATTATGCCACAATTTCATTATCCATTAAAGCCAGGTAATAATAAGTACACAAAGGTATTTGGAGCCTATTGATGTTAATGAAAGAGATCAATCTAATTCAGAATGTGTGTGTGGAGAGCTCCTTGGAGATGGAATAGGCCCCAAGGTTAGTCTATAATTGCCTCCTTGATGGTAGACCCCACCAGTACTTAATTTTGCATGACCATCTTTATGACATAGTTGGAATTTTGACGCCCAGGCTCACGCTTCATACAGAAGCACATTTTCCTCCTCTCCCAAGCCCCTCCCAACATTCCCAGTTCAGAAAGAATGGGAAAGTTACTGCCATTTAAATAAGATCTTTGTGCTGGGGTGAGAGTTTCCTGGATCTTGACCATGTGTTGGAATGGCTTAGCAGAAACTCCATGATTCATGCATTGATTGAGTGACCTGGGAAGGATTCCTAAGGCCCTAATCTCAATCTCTCCCCGTCTTTCTCTCTCTCTCTTTCTCTCTGCCTTTCTCTCTCTTTCTCTCTCCCTCCCTCTCTCTCTCTGTTGGTGCCCAAAAGAATCTTGTATCAAATTTATAAACTGCATTCAATGGAAATCTCAACAAAATTAAATATAGAAAGGAACCTTACCATGGAAAAAAAGAGGGTAAGGGAAGCACCTTTTCATTTATCTAGGAGTGCTTTGTGGGTACTCCCCTTCCTGCTTGAATGAATGAACACTTTGTGCCACATGAGGTTTCTGTGGTTGGGCTGGCTTAGTTCCCATAGCTGTCCACTCTTTTCCATCCAATAAAAGTTTCTAAATTTTATCCCTATCTTCTCCCACTTCTACCCTCACTTAAAAAAAAAAAAAAAAATCACAGGGCCAGGAGTTTAGCTCAGTGGTTCTGCCAACTGCCCGCAAGCACAAGGTCCTCAGTTTGATGCCCAGTACCAAAAAAAAAAGAAAAAAAAATCACTGCCATACAGATCAAATGCTCACCCTGCTGTTTCTGGGAAGTGGTACTTTCAATAATGTATTGGAAGAAACCTGCCCTCCTATGGCTCCTGGATCAGGCCTAGCTCCACACAGACAACCTTGTGGGAAGAAGTGCCTTGTTCTGGGCCCCCTGTGGAATGTAGCCCGACTCCAAAGCATCAGTGGTACCCTCTGATAAACAATATGTGTCCCAGAGCCAGCAGCTATGATTGCACCTTAGCTGGAACTCACAGGGCATTCACAGCATTTGATTTACTATAAACAGCAGCAGTGTACACCTGACCTAAGATGATGATGTATTTAGACAAGATCATCAGCTCCCCTGCCTGCTCTACCTGTCTCCAGCCTCTTGCTGGGCAGCCTGGACTGGGACACAGTAGGTGATTAGTTTGGGAGAGAGATAGCCTTTTGCTGTCAGGATCCTGGAAGGCCCACTGTTGGCATGGACATGGGCTCTGGGTTTCACATTACTGGCTAAGGGCCGCTGAAAGACACCAGCATGTCTCAGATGCTAAAATTCAGAGTTGGATATCTGCAACTGAGTAAAACCGATGAGCCCAGGCAGGGTGCACATGGAGGCTGGGAGGCTGAGAGAGATGAAGAATTGTAATAGTGACAGAATCTACTTTAAGTCTTTTCAAAGCTGCAGAATCACGCCTAAGTCTGTCTAATGTGATCTGTGCCTCTACAGAGGATACTTTCACTACCCTTCTGAAGGACCAGGGTAGAAACCAGCCCCGCTAATAACCTCAGGATAAAGGTACACAGAAGTCTCCAAGAGCAAGGAATCAAATGGGTGCCTCCATGCAAACACTGTAAAGGAGAGGAACAGGGCAGTGAAGGGAACCAAGGAACTGGAGCGTGGATCCTCGATCTGGAGAAGACTCCCCTCTGTTAAGCAATTTATCAGCTGTGTTCATCATATTCCAAATGGAGGGAGTACACAGAAAACCTTCAGCTGCTGTTGAGAAGAAAAATTAATATTTAAATGAAGGGTGACACTTAACTACAAATGGCTGCTCTGTGGAGAGCGCTTGAGAGTGTGCGCACATGGAGATGCACACACTTGCTCTCCTGTTTACCTGCCCCATCTCTTGCCTCTATTTGTCTCCTCCGTGCAGTGTAGGTAATGGTGTGTGTAGCATTCTCAGGAGTACTTGGTGGGTGACTATATTCCACCTCACACGTGCTACTCCCTCACATTTCCCTTTAATGCTCTCCATTATTTGGGCTGCATTAATAATGTTCGCAGGCTGATATCTTTAAAATTAATGAGGTGTTCACTTTTAGCTAAGAAACTCATTGAAATTTTTTAAAAAGCTTCTTTCCCCCCCTCCTTTTCTTTTACTGAAAAAAAAAAAAAAAGTGGACAAGCAGGCCACAGCACAAGCTTTATAAAAACCAAACAAAATTCTACACAAGAACTCAAACCCTGTCCCACTCCTAGGAAGGTGGGAGTTGCTAGCCAGTGGTATAGTCAGGTTCCAACCCCAGGTGTGTCCAAGAGACCCCAACTTAACAAGAGCTTTGCTGGAAAGCTGCATGCAACTCCATTTAACTAATACCTGTGACCTCAACAATACTTTATTCCACCACTGCCCTTAGTGCATGCATTGTAACCATAATGCCTTAGTCTAGACCAGTGGTGGTGAACCTATGACAAGCTTGCTGCAGCAGGCTCACAAAACCCTCTCTGCCCAAACGTAGCCAAGTCACACAGCGTTGCACAGCACCCGAGTGTCAGATAACAGCGCGCATAAGGGCCATGCGCACGCTCAGAAGGGAGAAGCTGCACCAGGCACCACTAACATAAGACCTGAGTGCTCCGTGTGTTGCTCTCAAACTAATGAAGTGTGAGCCAAGGTTTGACAAATTATCAGCACACACACAACAGCAAAGATCACATTAATTGTGCAAAAGTACGCCAAATACAAATGTTTACCTTTTAACAAAAAGCTGTTTGCATCATTGAAAGCTCTGCCATTGTGCTTTTATTTTTAAGACAAAGATGTTAATGTATGAGTTGTTTTTTCTAACCTAAAACCTCAGGTTTAATTGCAGTGTCGTCACGTTGTGCTAAATAAAGGGGTTTTAGGTTGCAATTTGGGCACTCCGTCTTTAAAAGGTTTGCCATCACTGGTCTAGTCTAAATGCCCCTTCTTATTTCAAAGGTGTGTTTCTAGGAGAATTCATATTGTGTGCAACCTGACTTGCCAATTTTCCAATTGGATCCATTATGTGGCATGAAGGACCTCCCCACTCCACTCCACTACCACTAGACAGCTTTGCATAGAAAAGCAGAGTGCCCTGCTGAATACAAATGCTAATTCTGCCTGACCATGAGCCTTCTGCTGACCACATGTCAGGATCGTTTGCCGGGAAAAACAGCAAAGAGAGAATAGCCGCCTCTGGAGTGCAAATCAGCAGACTTCAGTGTCTGACACCCACCCACCATTTCCCAAGCCCCAAGCAGACAAATTTCCCTGGGAACAATGCACCTGAGTCCGTTCCCAGGGGTACACAGGAGAAGTGTGGGTTTTGGCACATACTTTTTAGCAGTTGTTCTCCCTGAGCCAGAAGCCACCAGTGGTTTCTATGGGTCCTGCAGGTAACTATTAGCTCATCCCTTCAGATATTCAAGTTTATAATATGATCATTTTATGGTGTATCTGCATCTGAAATTAATTTGTAATTACACAATTAAAAACAGGACAACAACACTGATCAGATAGACTTCCCAATTTGTTAGTGATGGTGAGTTTGTTTGTTTTTCTCAGTAGAATTAGAAGTGGTAATGTTAATATGTACTGAAAGGTTTGATGATTCCTGCTTGTAGAGAATTGCTCAGGGCTCTGGTGTCTGAATGCAAGTCTCTTTACTTTTCCTTGTGGACTGTCTACAACAGGACCCCAAGATCTCTCATTGAACTTCTGATCTCTGTAGATATCCGGAGCCATGTGAACCAACTGTTCTTGTGTGATAATGTGATATGCACTGGAGCAGAGATTCCTTAACCCAACAGAGAAGGGCAAGAACTGCAGAGAAATGGGCAAGAGGGGAAGAAGAAGGACCTACATTAAACTGAATCTGTGCAAAATCTCCAGCACTTCTCTGCAGGATGTTGTATGTTGAGGACACAGAAAGCAGTTCCCATTCACTGTCATTCAAAAATGCTTTTTTGTCATGCTTAATGTCTTCTCTGTTCCTCAGAAAGCCCAGGTCTATATCTTCCACTGGAAACAACAGACACAATTAACTTACCAGGAGAAAAAGAGATGCCAACATCAACCCACTTTTCCATCTCCCAGTTCAAATCCCTCCTTTTTCTCTTGCCCCTATATGCACTGCCTTATTGATCTAATTTGAATTAGGCAGTAGAGGTGTAGAATAAACTCTTCAGAGTCATTAAAATGAAGAAAACTATGAATTTAGGATTTGGAGTCCACTCTATAGAATAGTGGCACTTGTCTGTGACTCTATACTATTCTCAATGACAGTAGCATCCTAATACTGTAATCACAAATTAAGAGCAGCAGCGGGCTATCACATTATACCTGGTCTGAATTATAGCAGGAGCCAAATAACTGCAAGAAGAGATCCATATTTTTAAAAGTAAATATGAAATTATAATATAACTTAATAATAATATAATTCAATTATAAGAGAATATATATACCAACCCAGCACAGGTGATTTCCCAAGTAGTATACTGTATGTCTCAGTTTACCTGTGTGCAGAATGCTATTGAAGGTTAGGCTGCAATTCTGGATATCAAACGGAAAAGCATATGTCTGTAAGCTGCAGGCAGACACCACCTGGATAGGCTTAAAGTTCTTAATGGTCCCAGAGGAGTTCACATAAACATAGGGAAGGTCAGGAGATCTTTCAGTGTCCACACTATATGAAACACAAGAGGACCTGTTGTTACAAAGAGGGTTTTAGTTATTTCAAAACATACGGAACTGATTTTGAGATGGTAGTGACCAGGAGATCTAGGACTAGCCCAGCACTGCAAAGAGAACTGCATTTTCCATGAGATGATTACCCTGGCAAAGACAAGGTAAAATGGCATTCTCATAGTTTAATTTATTTGCTACTGCTACACTGTGGACATACAGAGTGACCTCAAGCTCAATAATCAAATGTGTATCTTCAATGATGTCAACTCTTATTATTTCTCACCCAAATATTCCCAACAATATGCTTCTCTTCAACTTGAGAAACAAAAAAAAAAGCAACAATGACTGAAAGTAAGAATCAACTAGTCTAAGCGGTCTAAAGCCCCACAGAAGCCCCACTTATACCCAGCACACTTACAACTCATTAATGATGATATCAGGGGTCCAGATGGCACTGAGAGGTAGAGAGATCTCTCTAATCTCATCAAACATGCTGGAGTTCCAGGATAAAAACTCATCATACCAAACCTGTTAGGAGTAGCCAAAAAGAAATTTATCAAAATGGGATGAGGTCAATCTCACTAAAGGACTGAGAAGAGGTTTGAATTAATGATCCAGTATATCAGCCCCTGGGTGCTGTCTGTTAGGGGAGAGAACTTCCCATCCCATTCCTTCAGGTGGTAGCCCCAGTAGAGTATATGGCCATACATTCTGCATGGATTCTAACAGACTAGATCTGCTGCAGATCTAAGAAAATATAAATGGAAAGATATAATCTGTTCCTTAGAATCATCATATTTTGAAGCAGATCCAGATCAGAAATCCAGCATGCATAGAAGTAAACATAATCATTTACCTCATGGTACCAAACACTTGTCTTTAATTTTTGATTCTGTACATCCTGCAATGCAAAAAGAATATTCATACCAAATCTTAGAGTGTCAAGGAATGAAAGGCAAATTCAACAGTATGACAGTTCTGAAGAAGAAAATAAAATCTAACTAAATAATACTCATTTAAACACATTGGCTACACTCTTCAATACCTGGGTATTCTCAGTTCGTATTTATTATGCACACCTGTCGCTTGAGCTTTCCTGTATTATCTATGACAAAATGGCACTTTGGCTACACTTGACATCTTGAATGATTTGCTAATCTTTTCCACTCTAATTAGTTACACTGCTATTAATCAAACTAAAAAATGATATGTAGTCTTAGCCAATTTTGAGCTAAAAAGACGAGACCACACTTTTATTTGTAATCAAGATATTATTCATAATCTTTCAAAAAAGTGTTATTTCAGCTGATATTGGCTGGCATTCCCCTGAAGTTTAAATTTCTCTGCTTACAAAACAAACTGAATAAACTTAATGTAAGTGAGGTATATTTCAGAGGATTTAATAAGTGTTATTTCCCATATCTGCAATGATGCAGTGATTTTTTAAAAATCCCCAGAAACAGCAATCAACCAACAAACAAAAAACATCTTTACTATTTTTTATATCTAATCTAGTAAAGAACATTCTCAAACTATAATATATATTTGAAAATGGACCATAAGCTGAAATGTAAGAGCAAAACTCTTCTTAGCTTTGAATTGGGCAATATTTTCTTAGGTATGGCAACAAAAGAAAAATAAATGAAATTTCATGAAAATAAAATACTTGAGTACATTAAAGAACACTATCAGGAAATAAAATAATTCACAGACTGGAAGAAAATATTTGTATATCATATATCTGATAAAGCGTTTGGATACTGAATACATAAAGAAGCTGATTGTGGTGGCCCATGTCTGTAATCCCAGCACTTGGGAGGCTGAGGCAGGAGGATTGCCAACAGTTCAAGGCCAGCCTGGGCTACATAGTGAGCTCAGGGATAGCCTAAATTACAGAGTAAGACTCTGTCTAAAAACAAAAACAAAAACCAGAATATATAAAGAATTCCTATCACTCAACAACAACAAAACAAACAATACTATTTAAAAGTGAGCAAGGAAATTGAGTGGACATATCTTCAAAGTAAATACACAAATTTCCATGAGAAGATGCTTAATATTACTGTTATGAGTCAAATTGTTGATCCTCTCCCCTAAAATTTTTTTTGGGGGGTAACGGGGATCGAACTCGGACCTTGCACTTGCGCGACAGGTGCCGAACCTACTGAGCTAAATCCGCGTCCTTCCTCTAAAATGTTTTTGTATGTTGACTGACACTCAATGTGCATAGATTTGGATTTTAGAAAGTACAATAATTAAGGTTAAGTGTGCCTAGAATGTCAGGGTACTAATCTTATAGGATTGGTGATCTTACAAGAAGAGAAAGAGACAAGACAAACACAAACTGAGGAAAGTTATTCTACCAGACTTAAACTAATGCTTAAGGGAGTCCTATACTAGAAACGAAAGGACGATAATTACCATCATGAAAATATAAAATTCAACAGTAGAATAGTAGAACAGATACATGAAAGGGAAAGAGAATCCAACCCTATCAATACAGAAAACCACCAAACCTCAAAGATGAACAAGAGAGGAAGAAAGGAGTCAGTTGTGGTTGCTCACATCTGTAATCCCAGCATTTGCGAAGTTGAGGCAGGAGGATTGCCATCAGTTCAAAGCTAGCTTGGGCAACATAGTAAGTTCACGACCAGCCTAACTCTACACAGAGAGATCCTGTCTCACACCTCCTGCCACCTCTCCCCCCAAAAGAGAGGAAGGAAGGAAAACGGACATATGAAACAAGAACTAAAAATAAACCAAGTATGGTTGTGCATGCTTGTAATCCCAGCACTCTGAAAGGCTGAGGCAGGAGGATCCCAATTTTGAGCCCCTCTTGGAAAACTTAGCAAGATCCCTCAAAATAAAAAATAAAAGAGAGCTGTAGCTGTAGCTCAGTATGAAGGCTCTCAGTTCAATCCTCATAATGCAAATAAATAAATAAATAATAAGAGCATATTTTTATTTATCAGTAACAACCTTGAATGTAAATAGATTAAATTCCCTCTATTTAAAAACATATATTAAGTGAATGGATTTTTTAAAAAAAAACTAAGCTAGTACTACAAAAATCTCATCTGTATAGACACACATAGACTAAAAATGAGATGGGAAAAGATATACCATGTAAATAGAAACAAAAAGTGAGCAAGAATAGCTATATTTATATCAGGTAAAATACTTAAATCAAAAAGAGACAAAGAAGGTCATCATATAATGATAAAAGGATCAATTCAACAAGAAAAAATAACAGCTGTAAGTATACAGAGTCCACCAAAAAATTCATACATACTTCAGTAAAAGAAAAACAGTATAATGTTTTTTTCAACACATGGAGTTACTCTCATATGGGGGACCCTATAGGAGGTCCTATATTACAGAAAGCTTACTACACTCCCGGCCCTTAGAGAAGGAATTGAAAATGCATGTTCAGCAATCTCAATGACCAAAGTTACCCAAGCAGCAGTTTACCATACTACTAAATGTCTGAAAGCTAATGGCCCCCATTTTGAGCACCTTTTGTAATTATAGAGGCCAATTAATCTCATGATGTCTCAATAAATTTAGTGTTAAAAAGTATTTATACAAGTTTTCTTTTCCTGAAGTGTGTATACATTATTTTGGCAGACTCTGTATGTGCACCAAACATTGGAACACTGAATCACACCCAGAAAACATCAGATATAAAATGATAGATGAATACAGTAACAGTTGGAAACCTTAACACTTCACTTTCCTTAATGAATCACCCAGATCACTAGAAAAAAAAATCAACACAGAAATATTGGTGTTAAATTGTCCTATAGATCAAAGGGACATAGCAAACATTTACAAAACATTTCATGTAACAGCTCCAGTCTTCACATTCATCCCATCAGCGCATGGAATGCTGGGAAAATTGGATATCTATATGTAAAAAACTGAAACTAGATCCCTATCTCTCACCCTGTACAAAACCAATTCAACATGGAACAAATTTCCAATGAGAAATGTAATTGTGTTATATACCTCCAATGTACCAATAAAATAATTTAATAAAGTGCAAAAACCCTCCACAAAAACAAAATGGAACAAAGACCTGAGTATAAAATCTAAAACTTTAAAACTGCTAAAAGATGAAATATTTGAAGTCATAAACACAGGCAAAGATTTGCTGAAAAGGACTTCAATAGCAAAGGAAATAATAGTAATAATCAACAAATGAGATGACATCAAATTAAAAAACTTTCTGCATAGCAAGGAAAACAATCAACAGAGTAAAGAAGACAGCCTACAGAATGGGAGAAAAATCTTTGCCAGCTACTCTTTCAACAGAAGACTACTGTCTAGAATATATGAGATGTGATAAGATCTCATATATTTATTATGTGAATATTTATTACAGCAAGAGACACATAGCCATTAATTCCCCTCACAATACGTCCTTCATTTCAAGCACATTTCTCCCATTGTCCTTACTACATTCTGAAGCAGTTCTGGAAGTTCTCTTTCATGAATAGCTTTAGTTCTGTTGTTGTGGCTGCTCAATGTCCTGAATTGATTCAAAACACTTACCTGGGGCTGGGGATGTAGCTCAGTGGTGCTACACCTGCCTGGAAATCACAAGGTCCTGTGTCCAATCCCCGGTAAAAACAATAAAAATAAAATCAAATAAAAAGCAATCAAATCAAATCAAACAAAATCAAATAAAAAAAACAATCAAAACATTTAAGGACACAAGTGTAAATACTGGTTTCTCTAGTGTGAGAAACTGAAAGTGTAAATAAAGGCTAAAAGGTATAATAGATAATGTGAAATAGGAAGAAAAGGGGCAAAGGGGAAGGGGAAATGGGAGGAATTGAAGAAAGGAAAGAAGGGAATGGAATTAATATGAGAAAATGAAAAAATGGAAACAAAGCCTGTAAATAGGGAAGGACGGAGGGGTTGAAGGGAGGGTAGGAGAAGGGGGGAAGAAAACACTTACCTTTCATGGTCATTCTGACTTGGGAGAAGAGCCAGAAATTGTGTGATGCCAGATCTGGTGAACAAGGTGGATGAGGAAACACCATAATGTTTTTATGAGTCTTCCTTATAGTTGTATGGCACCCAGTAGTAGTATCCACTGTCTTTTTCATGCCTCATGAAGACACAAAAGAGGACTTCCAGAACTGCTTCAGAAAGTGGTAAAAAATTGGGATAAGTGTGTTTGAAGAAAGTGGGAGCATTGTGAGGGAGATTATTTGCAATGTATCTTTTACTATATTAAAAAATTTAAAAGATAAACATTCACCATGTATTTTGATCACCCCTTGTATAAACAGTTCAAAAAGTTTAACATGAGCTGGGCATGGTGCTGCATGCCTGTGAACTCAGCATTCGGGAGGCTGAGGCAGGAGGATCACTGCAAGTTTGAGGCCAGTTTGAGTTACATAGTGAGTTCAGGACCAGCCTGAAATACATAGTGAGACTCTGTCTCAGAAACCCAAAACCAGGGCCATAAATTTAGCTCAGTGGTGCTGCTGCCTGCCTCACAAGAGCAAGGTCCCGAGTTTGATCCCTGGTACAAAACCAAACATAAAACCAAACACAAAAACCAACAAAAAAACCTTGACACCAATAAAACAACACTCAATAATGGACAGATGAGTTGCACAAGAACTTCTCAAAAGTACAATCAAGCACAGGGATGCATGCCTATAATCCTAGCACTCTGGGAGGCTGAGGCAGGAGGATCATAAGTTCAAACCCAGCCTGGGCAACTTACAGGGACTCTATCTCAAAAACAAAAAGGTCTGGGGATGTATCTCAGTGTGAAGGCTCTGAATTCAATCCTCAAAACCAGAAAACAAAGCAAAAGAAATATAAATGGCCAATAAGTATATTAAAAATGCCCACTGTCTTCAGCCATCAAGGAATTCAAAC